CGGAGGGCCAGTGGCAAAGCTGATTCCTTTCTCCTCTGCCCCTGGGTGAGAAGCCCCTAGGGCTTTGTGTGTTTATTTGTTGGTGAGCTGATGCCATGGAAGGGGAGGTTTTCAGAGGAAGAATGTAGGAGATTGTGAGCTCTCAGGAAGAACAGATGAGGTTGTGCTTGTATCTCAGCTGCCAAACTCGGCTGCTGTGATTTTTGTCTAGCAAAGATCGGAGTAGAGAAGGACCTGGCTCCAACACTGACAAGAGCTCCAGTTGGCTCTGTGGCAGTGTGTGTGCTGTGAGGACGCAGGGCAGGGAGAGGGGACCCCGTCTGGGCACACAGGTCTGTCCTGTGGAATCCTCACCTGATGGTACTCCAAGAGAGGAGGATGTTGGTGCAGATGTTTAAGCAACCACAGTTGAGGTGTGACTCTCCCTCCTTGGAAGAGGAAGGCAGAGAGACTAGCAAGGCAGTCCGGTGACCAGCAGAGGAAATGCTGGAGATGGAGACACTAAAGTGGAAGCGGACCCAGGAAGAGTTTGAGAGAAAGCTCTGAGAAGTGACAGTGGAAGAGGCTGTCGGAGGAGGGAGAAAGGAGCGAGGATGGTGGTGGCTTCTGGACTGTGTACCCACGTGTGTGTGTAAATGGACAGCTCCAGTCTTCCCTCTAGTGAGTCAATGGGAACAAAGTGTCTGTTGTTCCCCTACTGCTGCTGCCTGGGTGCACTGCTCAGCACAGAGCAGCCCTCCATTCTCAAGCCCATCCCTTCTGATACTATGGGATCCAAATAAGAGTGTTGGGGACTACTCCCTGGGACCTTTTTAAAAGTTCCCTTAACAGGACAAAAAGTCAGCTGCAACTCGACCTGTCTGCCTCTTTTGTCTCAGTCCTGTGACCCTGGACAGCAGACATCATGGGGAATAACAGTAACAGGCAATGGTCCCCCAGCCCTATGTAGGCTGTGCTCTAAGAACATACACATTCGGCAGTTCTAGTGACGCTAAGGAAAGCATCAAGTCTTTCATGTCCCGGGATGGGCCATATGTTCTCGCGTCCAGGCCTCAGTTCTCTGCCTGGGCCTGCCATCCAACAGACATCTATCGATCAAGTGCTAACTGCCAGGACCAGAATAGGAGCCTCTGTTCACACAAAGCCCAGTGAAGGTAACAGATACAGACACAGTAAGTAAGTGTAGTGACAGAAGTATTATGGGGTGAGGGTGACCCCCCTAATCCAGCCTCCATTCTTCCCCCCCTGGCCACCTGGAACTTCACCCCTTCCAGGAAGCCTGAATTGGCCAAGCTGAGGGAGGTACCTCTTTTGTATTCCTGCTGCCCCTACTCTGTCAGGTTCATATACTGACCACTGAGTACCCAGAACATCTTTCTGGCTACCTCTTCCTTGGCATAGTGAAGCAGAGGAAAGTCTAACTCCTCACTGGAACCCAGCATCCAGGGAGCCTGGTCATGCACCCTTGGGGCATATGGAGTAACAGCCTGAGGCGTGAAGAACCCCAAAGATGGGCATCTTCTCACCCCTCCCTCTGTGTTCCTGCCAGGTGTGTCCTCACTGATGCTCATCACAGCCATCTCAGCCCTTCAGGAGCCAGGCCTTGAGGTTGATACCTGGCATACTGCTCTCCTGGTGCAGGAGTATCCTGGTCAGAAAGGGTGACCCCCAGCTGCAGGCCCGAGGAATAAGCCATATCCTGTATAGCTCTTAGGTAGAAACGTGGGGAGCCAGGAATGGCTTGAGGATGCTTTGGATTTGCTGCTGCCTCTGAGCTCTGGGATATCTCCAGGCATGACAGAGAGCTTTGAAATAAATATTAGATGATTTCAAACCAGGGGTCTTTGGGGGAACATTCTGAGAAGACTTGGGGTAGGGGAGAGTGTTAATAGTGCAGATAGGCTTTGGGGATCTCTCTGGGCTAATACAGCTGTTCCCAGAGCTCTGGATGAGAATCTCAAGGAAGGACCTGAAATAGCCCTCTCTCTTCAAGAGCACTTGGTAAGTTCTGGCCACACCTCCCATTCCTTGTTGTCTCCAAGTCTATCTGAGCTAGTGATGCCACGTGAAGCCAGGGCTGGGGCACAGGGCCTTAGATGCTAGTGCAAACAGTTTTGGACAAGGGTGGGAATTTCCACTCCTATCAGGAGAGCCATCAACGTTGTGTGCCCTGACCTGGGCCTTTGGCCTCCAAAGGGCAGTGGGAAGGCCGGCCCCAGGGCCAATCCCTGGCCATTAATCCCTCCTGCCAGCCCGCATATCCACCCAGTGTGGTCAAACAAAGGACTGCCGGGCCCAGCTACTGTGTTCCTCCCGCCCCAGGGGCTCCACTCAGACTCTGGGCCGCCTGGAATCCGAGCCCATGAGAAAGGGGCCACCTTCACTGACCGTCTTATGCCCGGATGCTCAGCCGCATCACGTCCGGCCCAGGGCCTGTGAAAAGAGGGCCCAGCCACGCTGAAAACACGGATTAGCCCTTGGGCCGCCCCCTGACACCAGTTTGCTCCACTCTGGGAAGCAGGCCCAATGGAGAGGGGGTAGATAGGCACAAAGAATTGGCAAAGTCTGGGTTCTCACCCCTTTGGCCTAGCTCCTCATCCCCACTCTTCTCAGAACTGGCAGAGCCAACCACACAATCAGGATCATTTATTGAACATATATTAACCAGACTATACACATGACCTGGGAAATCTCAGGGCCCTCCAAAAAACCTTCAGTCAGTCCTAGGATGCAATGGCAGCCAATTTCCTCCTTAGAGGTACAACACAGAGGCTATGGCAGGGGCTTTGTTGGAGAGCCTTCATCCCTAAGGGAAGGTGAGAAAGGGGAAGTCTCCATCAATACTAGTTCTGCATTTGAGTCCAGCTGCAGAGAACACTGTACCTGGCTGGAAAGGTGGCTTGCAGCCTCTCTCCCGATCCCCTGGTTAACACAGGAAAAAACCAACTAAACAAAACCAAACAAACAAACATCAAGATCCACAGCAGGCCAGGCCTTCTACACAATCCCTTTCTATGGAGGTATCATTGCTTGCTCTTGGCCGCTGAAAAAACAGGCTTGAACAAGAGGTAGCCTTGTCCCCACAGCTCTGGAAGCCATGTTCTGCTGCCGCAGTGGCTTCTCTTACCCTCTTCTGTGGTGAGCTGTGCTGTGTGACTGCACTGTCTTGGGTTCTGTGCTGACACAGGACGAAGGGTGGAGAGGGCAGAAAGGACAGGGTCTGTCCTGATGCGACCGTCCTTGTTTTGCTTGGGACACTGTCTCTAGATCTGCTTCTTTTTTCTTTCTGCTTCCTTGGTTCCCCTCCACCCATTTCTCAGTGTGCAACTGTCCATCTCTCCACCAGACTGTCTCATTTCTCTCTTGCCCTGAGCATTGGCAAAAGGCCTGGCTCCGAAGCCCTTAATGAATGAAGCAGGCTGAACCAAGCTCAGAACTGAATGAGAAATTGATTTAGGATCCGTGTGGCCTGGACAGGATGTGGCAGTGGCCTGCGTGTAGAGACTCACACAGATGTCTACTTGCTGAGATCTAGGACGTTTGTAGGATGGCAGGCTGGGGCAGTATGGGGTGGCTGTTCATTTAGAACATGGAATTGAGATGTCTTAGACATCTGTGTGGCTATGTCCAGCTGGGTCTGTTGACCAGGGGGTCAGGATAGAGAGCAGGAGGGAAGTAAGGTTAGCAGATAAAGTAGGGGCAAACTGTAATTTATTTCTGAAGCCTTTCCTCTTTTGTGTGTGTACGTATATGTGTAGGAGTGTGTGTGTGTTTGGGGGCACCCATGTGTGGAGGCAGAAACAATCTCACGTGTCAGTCCTTACCTTCTACAGGGTCTCTTGCTCACCACTGCCTACAATAAGCAAGCTGGCCCACAGTTTCTGAGGATTCTCGTTTCTGCCTCCTATCTCAAGTGTTGGGACTACCAAGGCACTGCTGAGCCCAGCTTCAGGTGGGGACTGAGTTTCTGAGGGTGGGACTTCACATTTGCATGTCAAGCGCTTCAGTCAGCAAGCCGTCCCCCAGCTGGTTACTTATTTTTGAGATGGAGTGTCAAGGCACAGCCTAGCCTAGCCTTTACGTGGCCGCAGTCTCTCGGTGCTGGGATAACGTGTGTGCTATCTCGGTTGACTAAAGCTTCCATTGTAAAGCGATGGGGTTCAAAGAGAGGTGATGGGTTTCACTCCCGCCCTGCTGCTATTAGGCGTGTGAGGCTAGGTATACTACTTAACCTCTCAGAGTTTTGGTTTCTGCAGTCAAGAATTGGGATAAGAGTATCTATCTCCCAGGGAAGCTCAGATGCCAGTGAAATAAAGTCTTCACCAAATACCAGTGGTGACAGCTAAGAGGGGAGCCCTTGAGCTCCATGTCTGAGTTTGGATTTCGACATTCTAGGCTTCGGATCACCTGAAGCTAGCTTTGCTCATTTGGAGGGGGTAAGGCATACTCTGTCAGTGGTGGAGTCTGGAGACCCAAACTTTCACAAAGGCTGACTGTACTCACAAGACCTCGACAGTAAGAGCCTCTGGAACTTAGCCTAGCAACCCTTCACTTGCCTCTCTGGTCCCTGCTCCACCTCCACTTCGATTGATCTTGTCTGTCTGTCTGTCTGTCTGCTTTAAGAGAAGTCTTCTTCACCCTTTGGCGCCCTGTGTGTGGTGGAGGAGGATGGTACTTTAACAAAAGTCTTCCATCTCTCCATCCCAATGATAGTGCCTGCATCAGAAAGGCGTTCCTTCAGCCCCTCCCTCTGTGGAAGCATTTGGGGTATGTTCTTTGGAGGGGCTCGTACTTTAAAACAGGTGGAGTACTTTTTACCATTTTTTATCTTCAAAGAAAGTTCACAAGGTCTGGCTGGAGTCAGGGATGGATAAGGATGAAGGGGGTGCAGCAGGGAGAGTTAGACTGTCCAGCTATCTTCCCGTAAAACAAAGGCAGCCAGCATTATCCTCCATCACCCATGCTTTGGTTCTCTACTGCCCAAAAGTAGCTGGATAGTTCCCTGATCAGCCACATAGGGTGCTGAGGGTTAGCAAAGATGGTTGGAACAGGGAATGGGAGCACAGGGGAGGGTGAGAGGTATCTGGCCGTTAGAAGGCACAAAATAGGGAGAGGGCAATAGAGTGTGCTGAATGGGTGGATTTGTGATTGGGATTGACCCAAAGGGGCGGGGGTAATAGGAGCAGTGCGACCAAATACCATGGAGTGGGGATGGGACCGAGACTGACTCAGGGATGAGGCAGGATCTGAGAAAATTGACCCAAAGGGAGTAGACCAAGGGAGGGGGAGAAACAGAGGTGGGCTGCTAGCCTGAGAAGGGGGCTGGGAAAGCAAATTAGAGGGCAGGTCCGAGCCCTCTCCTCGGGAGGTGGGGGTGTGTATCCATATAAGGCGAACTGCGACCCCTGCTCTCCCGGAGCTGAGGTAAGAGCTCCGCATCCCTAGGACCCCCCCGCACATGGATGCGCACGTCGCTTTCTCGGGCTTCCCGGCTCTGCCCTCGGTCTCGCCGTCGGGGCCGCAGCCGTCGCCGCCGCTAGCCGGAGCCGAGCCGGGGCGCGAACGCGAAGAGGTGACGAGCGGTGGGGACGTGGAAGCCACGGGCGCGCCGGGCCCCGGGAGAAGGCGCCGGCGGCCGCTGCAGCGCGGGAAGCCGCCCTATTCGTACATCGCGCTCATCGCCATGGCCCTGGCGCACGCTCCAGGCCGCCGCCTCACGCTGGCCGCCATCTACCGCTTCATCACCGAGCGCTTCGCCTTCTACCGCGACAGCCCGCGCAAGTGGCAGAACAGCATCCGTCACAACCTCACCCTCAACGACTGCTTCGTCAAGGTGCCGCGTGAGCCGGGCAACCCGGGCAAAGGCAACTACTGGACGCTCGACCCCGCGGCCGCCGACATGTTCGACAACGGCAGCTTCTTGCGGCGCCGCAAGCGCTTCAAGCGCGCCGAGCTGCCCGCGCCGCCGCCACCGCCCTTCCCCTACGCGCCCTTCCCGCCCGCGCCCGCGTCGCCCGCGCGTCTCTTCCGCCTAGACAGCCTGCTGGGCCTGCAGCCCGAGCCGCCGGGCCCCGTGGCGTCCGAGCCGCCCTGCTGCGCCGCCCCCGACGCCGCCTTCCCGCCCTGCGCCGCCGCCGCCGCCTCCTCTCAGCCGCTCTATTCCGCTGCGCCCGAGCGCCTGGGGCTGCCTCCGCCGCTGCCCGCCGAGCCTCTCCTGACCTTGGCCGGACCGGCGGGCGCGCTCGGGCCGCTCAGCCCCGGGGACGCCTACCTGAGACAGCCGGCCTTCGCGCCGGGCCTGGAGCGCTACCTGTGAGCCGCGGTCCCGGCGGGAGCACCTGGCCGCACCTCCAGCCCCGCCCGGAGCAGAGCGCGCTTGGCTCTGGGGGACACTCGCAGCGTGGCGCTCTCTGCTGAGTCCCCTTGCCTTGCCTCGGGCTGAACCTTCCTTGCCTTCCTCCAGCCCTGGGGAAGACTCTGACCACCTCACCACCAGACTGAAGCGTCCTCTTCAATCTGACGCCTTCACTCCTCCCTCTTCTGTACGCCCCACCTTGGAAGCTTTTGTCTCAAGCCACCTCTTCGACCTCTGATATTTTGCCAACCTCAGAGGTCAGACTCCTGGGTTCATTACTTCCACACCATCTTCCACCATTTACCAACAAGTTTGACAAGTTTGTCCCCCTACCCTGCCCTTGGTTTCTTACTGAGCCCCTTTCCCACACAGACACACCTGGCTGCTCAGTTCCAGGTTCTGAGGACAGTTCTTCAGACCTTTCTAGGTTACAGCACCAGGGGCTCCTGACTGAATGGGGGGGATTAATGGGCCTCTGTGTCTGCCCTGCCCCCGTGGAAAGCACAGAACTGATCGGGTTGTTGTTATTTTCCAATCAAAGCTAGTTTAATTAAAAAACAAAGAAACCTTTAGGTTTGTTGTGTTGGGTGGTAACTTGGGGAGTGGCTGGGAAGGACGGTGGGGGAGGTTTTCCTCTTGGGATTGACATGACCTGAATCTCCTTCCGGAGTCCTCAGTCTCCTGAAGTAGGATCCAGGAGGATAGCTGTGCACAGAGCCAGCCTGGACAGTCTGCCACCTGCATCCCGCAGACGGTAGAGATGAAATGCGGTGTGGGCGGGTGAATGAGTGAATTTAGAAAGCCGGTTGCCTGCCCGGCGGTGGTGGCGCACGCCTTTAATCCCAGCACTTGGGAGGCAGAGGCAGGCGGATCTTTGTGAGTTCGAGACCAGCCTGGTCTACAAGAGCTAGTTCCAGGACAGGCTCCAAAACCACAGAGAAACCCTGTCTCGAAAAAAAAAAAGAAAAAAAGAAAAAGAAAGCCGGTTGCCTGATCTTTGAGACCATTCCCAATGCAAAAAAATAAGGGCGCACATTAATTTGCATTAATCTAATCATTTCTTTGCAAAGCAAAGTGTCCATTCCTCAAAATGGGGTCCATGGACCTTTATCACTGGGAGAAATGCCAGAAATGCAGGGTTTCAGGCCCCAGTACAGACCTATTGAATCATCACATTCTGCATTTTAATAACACCCTCAAGTGATTCGGGAACACTATGCTGGAGGAGAGGCAATGGCCCATGCTTTGGCCTCAACCTGAAAGACAAAAACTCCCTGCTCTGATGGAGAAACTAAGTCACACCTTCCATTTGTGCTCCCTGCTGGATTGGGCAGCAGCTTTGAATCGATTCATGATATGCCCAGCACCAAGGACAGGGCAGTAACATCGCTGCCTCATAGATTGAAGGGTGAGCGAGGGACTTGGCTGGTGACCTTGTCCTGGTCTCTGGTGCTGACCAAAAGCTGTGCTTTTCTAAGATTTCCACTTCAGCTCCCAGCTTAGTAGATCTTGACTTGGGGTAGGGAAGTGCAGAGGAGAGGATAATGTGTCACAAACCCAAGGTCTTATGGGAAATACCTAATGTTCATCTCCTACACACCAGTGTTTGAGGTTACAGGTGATAATGGAAGGCGATGGTGGCCAGTGAGCAGCTAGCTCATAGGAGAAAGGCATGCGGGAATCTGAGAAGGCAAGAAGGCCCTTTTTAAAATATATTATTATTACTATTTATTATTATTATTATTATTAGAAAAGTGGTGCCTTCTCTTAGAGTTTGAGCTAGGGTCAGATCCAATTTGCCTGGTGCATTGAGGCCCTGATTATCTGTGGACTGACTGGCTGGACAGCTGAACCCCTTAGTGTCTAATGCTGTCTGCCTTTGTGAATACTGACTATTTTGGCACTTTCTTATCCATTCTTATTTGCCATTCTCAAAGTGACTTGTGGGGACATGGGAAACAGAAGGAGGTGGAAGTGGAGGCAATTTCTCTGTTCTTCACCTGAGAAAACTTGTCCACCCTGGGCCCAGCAGGCAGCAGGAAATCCAGCTTTGGTTCTCTGATGAGGGTGCTCTGCAAAGATCAAAATGCAAATTTTCTTCTGCTTCAAATGGTGTGGCTGCCCAGCTCTCAGCCTCCAAGCATCTGTTCATAAATGCCTCCTCAATTCAGGGCATCTCCAGGGAAGGGAAGACCCCATTTGCCACCCTGAAGCCAAAAAAAAAAAAAATGCTCCCTTGGCTCTGAATTCTATTCTTTTCTTTTGTGGACTGGATTTCTCTGAGTAGCCCTAGCTGTGCCGGGACTTGCTATGTAGACCAGGCTGGCCTTGAACTCAGAGATGTGCCTGCCTCTGCCTCCCAGATACTGGGATTTAAGGCATACATGCACCACCATGCCTTGCTCTGAATCCCATTGTTACCACTGCAGACATCTCGGTGTCCAGGATTTGAGGGCACTCAGGAAAATGCTAGCAAGATCAGTGTGGAACTGGAAACCTAGAATGACTTATTTTCCATTTCTTTTTCTTTTCTTTTTTCTTTTTCTTTCCTTTCCTTTTTCTTTTGGACAGGATCTTTATTCAACAGCATCATGGGTATGCTATGCCCAATAGAGATACAAACAAGAAAACTTGTGTATGTCTTCAGAGAGTTTGCAGTTTGGAAAGTCATATGTCAAGTGCCTTAACTTTTTGGCATTTTGGCAGATATGAAAAAGCTATAATGTAACCCAGCTCTTCCATTAAGAAGCCCTGGAGATGGGCTGGGAGATGACTCGTCATCCTACGCAAGCATGAGGACTGGAGCTGGGATAACCAGTGTCACTTTGCTGGCTCCCACACATCATCCAGCTCTGTGAGGCAGACAGTTAAATCCTGGGACCTCACAGCTTCTTTTCACTGAGGGACCCTGTCTCAATAAGGTAGGTGGGCCTGGAGAGATGGCTTAGTGATTAAGAGCACTGACTACTCTCCCAGAGGACTCCAGTTCCATTCCCAGCACCCACATGGTCACTCACAATGTCTGTAACTCCAGTTCCAGGGGATCTGATGCCCTCTTCTGGCCTCCTTGGGCACTAGGCATGTACATGGTGCACAGACAAGTATACAGGCAAAACATTCAAACACGTAAATTAAAACTTTTTTTGAAAGACAAAAGTTAGACGTTAGAGCTGTAGAGGTACCTCAGCAATTAACAGCATTTTCTGGTCTTGTAAGTACCTGGATTCAGATCCCAGCACCCAAATGGTGGCTCACAATTTTCTGTAACTCCAGTTCCAGGGGATCTGATATCTTATTTTAACCTCTTTGGACACCAGATATACAAGTGGTATCCATACATACATGCAGGCAAAAATACTCATACACATAAAAAAATTTAAAAAATTAAAAGGAAAATCAGAAGTCATTTTAATCTGAAGGCATACTTTAATGCTTATTTTATTGGTACTGGGGATTGAAGGCCTTGTATACCCTGGTCAAGCACTGTACCACTGAACTACATCTCTAGTTCTTTAACTTAGGTTTTTGTTCAATTGAAATTCGCACATAATGTCACAAGTCAAATAGCAATCAAAAGCTCACAACTGGTGTCTCTCACTGCTCTTAAAAACTCTGCATCTGACCCTACGAGCAATAACTCCAGTGCAGTAGTGCAGTTCTCCAAGTCCAGTCCTAATTTGTTTGTTTTGTAAGGTATTTCCATGTTTAGGCTCCTCTCTTGAGACAGGAATAAATGCCCTTTTCCCTGTTTTTTTCTTTTTTCTTTTTCATGGTGCTGGGAATCAAATCTAGGTCTTGAGCATGTCAATCAAGTGCTCTGTCAACGAAAGGCCACCTCGGCACAAATGATTAACTTTCATTTACCTCTAAAATATCCTCTCTCCTATTACCACCAAATTACTAGCTTTGGGCTGACTTCGTCATTATAATAACATTTATTCAATTACTTTGTATACTGTATACACTGTGTTATCTGATAAACCACGAGTATACAATGTTCACTTTTGTGTGTTCCATGTTTTAATTTTTCCAGTATCTGTCTTTTTGTTTTCATTTACTCATTTTCTATCTACTGCTAAATCTCCCCCTCTCTTTCCAATATTACAATTTTCACGAGACCAAATGTATGAGAAAATTCATCACTGTTTTTTGCTGCATGTCTGCCCTCCTGGGGGCAACTCTCGCACTTTTCTCTGTCCTCTGGCTCCAGTCTGGACTGGTGGTTCTCCATGTCTGCTGTGCAGATGTTGCTCGGGAGTTTCTTTTTGCCATTCCTTCATCTCTGTCCTGTGTTGCATCTTCTGTTTCCTGGATTCCATATCATCCTTTCTCTTTGTTTATTTCCTTGTTCTAGTAGAGGTAAATTGTTTTGGAAACCACATATCTGAAACTAAGATGATTATTTTAACATGAAAAGCTAAATATGCACTTTGACAGTGAAATAGTTGAGTCAGAGCTGTGTTTCTGTAGACTTTCCCGGGGGAGGGCGTAGGGAACGAGAGAATTGGAGGTACTTCCTCAGTTTAGTATGTGTTACCTTCAAAGAAGCTGGGAAGGTATCTCAGCATGCCGGTGAGTGTTTGGACAGGAAGATGAACCACTGAAAATCCTTTATTTATTTATTATTATTCTCTGTGTGAGAGATGTATATGCGTGAGTGCTATTGTGTGTGTGCCACGGTGTGTGCATATGTCTTAGTGTGCATGTGCAGATCAGGAAACAATTTTTGGAAGACAGTTTTCTCCTTCCATCATAGGTTCTGGGGAATCAAACTCAGGTTATTGGATTTTTGTGGCAAGCCCTTCACCCACTGAGCTGTGTTGCTCGCTTGAGAAGGAGTTGAGAGAAAAGGCCCTCAGACAGAGATGGCTCCTGATCTAGGAGAATTTGAAATGTGGGGAAGATGGCTTGGACTTAGGATGGTGTCAAACTAATTTGAGGGCCTGTAGATTGAACTCAAGAAAGAAGTCAACATTATAATCCTTGCACATGGAAAACTGAGTACACGGGAAAGTGACACCCGTGACCATGGCCTGACAGTCATGTCAACAGAAAAGTTCCTTCAGGCAATTGTCAGATTGCTGGATGTAATTCGGGTTTACCTAATGAGCAAAATGGAGGGCCCTCCTTCGGTGTGGCTGGGTTATGGAAGCTCATGTGAAGTACCTCGCTGCTCTGGGAGATGCTAATATTATGGGACAGGGAGGATTTTGCAAGATACAGGGGTTGATATAGTATACTTTTAAATGAAAACAATCCCATGGCCTCCAAAACAATTGAAAACTTATTTAAATAAATAACTCTTAGGCTAGAAGAGAGTTAATATTACAGACTACTTATGAGTATATAAATTGAAAACCATACATTTATAAAAGTGGAGTTTTAAATCCATAAGCCAAACTTATGCTCAGAAAACCTTTTGTAACCGCAAGCTATGTAAATGGTGTGAGAGGGGACCTGAGGCAAGACCGGGAGACATTTAAAAGGCTAGTACAGAAAAAGATGCTACAAAGCCACAGAAAGAACTGACCGCTGACTAAAGTCTGGCT